TAGATAGATAGATAGATAGATAGATAGATAGATAGATAGATAGATAGATGTATAACATGCATGAGAAAAGAGAAAAATGTGTAGTTTTATTTAAAGGAAAAAATATGTTAAGATTGTTGAAATACACTCAAGGATGCTGCTGTGTTTAGAACTTAAATAAATGTTTCAGAACTTTTAAACTTGGGTTTTGTGGCGATGTTATGAGCAGTTAATATTTTATTTGCTGTAGACAGCTTTTTGAATTACCTCTTTTTTGAGAAATACGTTAAAGAAGGTGAGCCTGTGATTGGAAGGTCGCCTGTTTGACCCCTGAACCATAAACATCAAAATGTGGGTAGAAAAGGTGGAACACCCACACCTGCCTCCACCCTCATTTTCCCCACTCTGGGCCCTTGAGCAAGGCCCTTAACCCCCACCATCTGCTCCCAAACAGGTCTCTCTTGAAAATGAATTCTCGTGACTCAATGAGACTACCTGTATAAATAAAGGGTAAAATAAAATGTTAAATAAACCTTTCTGACTATCAGCAGAGCTTCGGCTAACAAGCAGCAAACATCTATGAGTAAATTTTAGATAATGTTTTTCCTCTAGACAGCATCTCCTTCAAACAGTTCATAAAGTGACGTGATTTATTTATATTTTAGTGTGTCATTACATCCCAGTGTGTCTCATTGCAGCACAATTTGTGAGCATTTCCATCTGGTGTGGAAGTCATTAAACAAACCGACCTTCTAGTGAAATTGTTAGCATTAGCTCACAGCTGGATCCTCAACAGCAGTTTGACAGCTATTATAAAATACTGAACTGAAATGGGTTTGAGTTTTACTGTCACCTCAAAATGTCCCACCAACAGGGAACTGTCCTTGTGTTTTTCTAGAACTTGACATGTATCAAAGATGGCAAATTAATTTCACATTTCTTGTGTAATCATCATAGCCCCAACAACTGACAGTTTTTAAATTATTTTTGCTTGCTTCAGTGAAAGGTCGAGCAACCATGTGTGAGTTTGTTAGTCTGTCTGTTAGCAAACTATCTCAAAATAATGTGGGCAGATTATAATAACTCTCCAGAAGGTAATCAATAAAGGCACATCTAAATGATATAAACACAAAAATGGCTACATCTCAATTCATTTTACAGATACTGAGTTAAAATGTGGTGTGGTAGTACCTGAGAGTTGTCCCCAAAACATACTGAGTGCGGGCAGAACATACACAATCTTTGCCTAAAACTTAATTGTTATTGTCATCTCTGCTTGCTTGTTGGCAAACTTTTTTATGATCTACTTGAGAAGTTTTAATGAAACTCTTGCGAAAGTTATCACCGGATGGATATCTACACTTGATTAACTTTTGGAATCAACCTGATTCAAGATGGCTCCCTAATCAGCCTTAGTAAACCAAACAGTTACTATAACTCAGTTATATTTACTGATATTGATCTAAAACTTGTGGTTGTATGAGCTGAGAATCTTACCCTTCAAATATTCCAAGTTCCGCCAGATCATGTGAGGTTTTTGTTAAAACCTTGGCATGCAAAGCACTGAGGGATATGCATTCCTTCAGGGGTGTAGGTTAATTGTGGAAAAAAGGTATTCCATTTTAATCATTTACTGTCTGCTTACTCTTCTTTCTGCTAGGATAGTCACACTCAAGCAGTCACATGCAGCTTCAACCACACCCAGAAACAGAGAGCAGCAAGAGGACAAGCATGTGATAGCCATGTCGAACGTCTCGTCCATTTCCAAGTGTGAGCCTGACACTTCTGGACCAGAACCAGACTCCTAACAAGACCTTGGGACTTCTGTATAAGTCTGGCGCTACTGCAACTGAACACCCCAAAATGCCACTTTTCATTACTGTTTTAATTCAGCTGGAGAATTTCAAACTAAATCAAACCCAGACAGCTTTGAATTTGATCTAACTATATGTATTAAAAATATTTGTTGTAGATAACACTCTTTACATGTGCTTGTAGAATAAAAGGCACTACCTATACATTTTGAGCAGGCATGAGTGTACAGGAATTAGAAATATAAACATGTATTGAAATGTTTCTGTAGATGTGAAAAAAAAGTTTAAAAATGAGAGGATATGTGTGTATTTGTGTTTTGTGATCCCTGTGTTTTCCAGCTCTTGTCACACCTGTCCTCTATCCCAGTCACGCCAGGTGTTCTTCATTGTCTATAATTAGTGTTTCTATATATTTTGCATGTTTGTATCTTTTCATTTGTCCATGGATTGTCCTGTCAAGGTGTTGATGTTGTCTCCCTCCATGTCTCCTATTCCATGTATGTAAATTTTGCTGCCACATCAGCCTTTTGGTTTCTTGTTAATAAAAATTCTTACTTTATACTTCGAGTTCCCCGTGTCTGTCTGTACTTTGGGTTCAAAACAAACCAGAGTCATGACAGAATCCACGGACCCACCTGAACCCAGCAGACTGATCAGGCTGTTTGAGTTTCTGCCCCAAGAAGCAGATAAGACTGACCAGTGAGAGAGAGGGAGCACAGGAGGTATTGTCCGACATCCGGGGGAGTGGGTTCCAGATCAAACCTGCCTGGAGACGAAGATACCGCAGCCTGGAGATAGAAGTCCTACCTTCACCTCTTTTGGTTGAGGAAGAGGAGAGGAGGAAGTCTCAGTTCTGAGGAACCTGCCTGGATTTCAAGCCCAATTTTTCCTCCTTTCCACCTCCTTGCTCGCCTCTGGTACCTCGCAGGTCTGAAGCCACTTGCTATCCTCCATTCTGCTCACCTCTTGGGTTTTCCAAGTGGCCATCAGAGGAGGATCCTGAGCTTGCTTATGAGCCCTGCTTTGCACCACTGTGTCCTCTATCACCGCCAGCGTGTCCTGTGCCATCACAACCATGTCCTGTGCCATTGTCCGAATGTCCTGTGCCATTGCCAGCATGTTCTGTTCTGCCAGCAACTCCTGTGTCGATGGGTGTTGGAAATGACAACCCACCTACTTCCTGTGTCTCTGTGGGTGTCAGCTATGACAATACACCTTCCTGTGGTGCTGTGAGTGTCGGGGAGGGCAACCCACCTACTTCCTGTGTCTCTGTGGATGTCAGGGATGACCCAACTTCATATGTCTTTGTGGGTGTCCGGGAAGATGACCCACCTTCTTGCGTCTCAGTGGGTGTCAGAGATGACAACCCACCTCCTTCCTGTGTCACCGTGGGTATTGGGGTCGACGACCCACCTCCTTCCTGGGTCCCCATGAGGGTCCTGAAATATGTCTCTCACTCTGCCTCTGAGAGGGTCCTGAAGGATGCCTCTCACTCTGTCTTTGAAAAGGTGCTTGAGGACACCTCTCCCTCTTCTTCCGAGAGGGTCCTGGAAGACGCTTCTCATTTTGCCTGCGAGAGGGTCCTGGAAGATACATCTTCCTCTGCTTCCTCATCTCCTGTGGGTCCCAAGTGCCCTCTGAGTCTCTAGTGGACCCCACACTTGCTACAACCCTCCTGGTTCCATCACCTGCTGCAGCCCCTATGGTCCCTATGCCGACTGCAGCCCCTCTGCTCCCTATGCCCGCTGTAGTCCCTGTGGTAGCTACACCCACTGCAGTCCCTGTGGTAACTACACCCACTGCAGCCCCTGTGGTAGCTACACCCACTGCAGTCCCTGTGGTAACTACACCCACTGCAGCCCCTGTGGTAGCTACGCCCACTGCAATCCCTGTGGCCACTACATCTGCTACAGCCCCCCTGATCTCATCACATACTGTAGATCTCATTGCTGGTTTGTCTGCCACAGATCTCATCACTTGTTCACCTGCTGTGGATGTCTTGAATGGTTTACCATCTGCGGCTCTCATCACTGGTTCAGTTTCTGTCACCACATTCATCACAACTGGCTCCTCGTCTGTATCTGTTGCCACATCCATTGTCATTGAATCCCTATCTGGTTCACCTGTCACAACAGTATTCCCTGTGATCACTTCACTTGCTGCTGAAGTCTCCCCTTTGGACTCAACATCCATTGCTCTACTGATTCCGAGGGGGTCCAGGTGGACAACTCTGGCCAGTTCTGGACTGTCGTCCAAAATTTTGTCTCGCTCTGGACGATCTCCTGGCCATCTGCCAGAATCCTTGTTCTGCGCTGGACAGTCTCCTGGCTGTCCACCTGAACATTTGCCCTGTGTTGGATGATCTCCTGGCCATCCACCTGAACTTTTTGTGTTGACTTGGATGGCCTCCTGGCCATTCACCTGAACTATGTGTACTTGGTTCCTGTTTTTTTTTCCATAATTTTTTTGTTTTTTCCTTTGTGTTTCCTTGTGCCCTTCATCCTGTTTTCCCCCTCCTCCCATCCGAGTTAGGTAGAACAATTTTGGGATGTCAGGGACCATCTTTAGAGTGTGTGGTACTGAGAGGATCATTGTGTATTTGGGTTTTGTGATCCTTGTGTTTTCCAACTCTTGTCACACCTGTCCACTATCCCAATCACCCCAGGTGTATTTCATTTTCTATCATTAGTGTTACTATATATTTTGTTTCTTTGTGTCTTCTCATTTGTCTGTGGGTTATAGGTCATTTGTCCTGTCAAGACGTTCATGTTCTGTCTCCTTCCGTGTCTCCTATTCCATACGGAAGTTTTGCTGCCACATCAGCCTTTTGGTTTCCTGTTAAAATGTATTATTCCTACCTTAGCCTTGGAGTTCCCTGTGTCTGTTTGCACTTTGGGTCCAAACCACACCAGAATCATGACAAAAAAGTGATCAAAGTGTATCCAATTTGATGTTTTTATGTTAGTCCATTGCAGCCTTTACGAGCTTAAATGAACTAATTTCTCATTAAAAACCAACAAAAATATTTATAAAGAAAAACATTGGCTTTGTCCTCTTCTGGGGATGTATTTTGAAACCTTATTTGATTGATATTCTAGAAAACTCCCATTTGTGTTATCACTTGGAACCAACTCCAAATTAAAACTATAAACCTGAATGTGTGTTTCGTCCTTGATGCCTCCCCGTATAGATTTGTCTACACTTCACACACACAAATGATCAACCGTTCATCTTGAGTTAACTTTCAGACTGCACTCACAGTAAAGCATTGTTAGAGAAGCTCTGCTGCTGTCTCCAGCCTTTTCTGCAGGTGATCACAGAGGCCGGCCATGAATGAGTGTTTGAAAAAGTGTTTGTGTGTGTGGGGCGGGGTTTGAGGTGATGTGCGTATTAATGTATGCAGATGCTTTTGCACAAGTTTATACAAAGCTCTGGTCATGTATTTGATAGCTGTTTAGGACAGAAATGAGGTGAACCTTTGTGGGGAGGACCACAGCTCTGCACATGGAGCAGCACACATTTAAAGAAGAGGGGGGGTCATTTATTTCAGCTTTCCACTAATAATACTACATGTTAAAATAGGAATGACTGCTTCAACACTGGGCTTTTGACAATGTATATATATGTCAAAGATAGTTTATTTTTATTGTGTTGTTACTTATTATTGCTGCTTTATTGAGAATAATTTGCTGCTGCCAAATTATTTGTCACTTATTTCATGATTAATTTAAAAGTATCTATAGCCAGCTAAATTCATTCAAAACCTAATGCTAAAAGCATTAATGAATGTGAAAAAGTTTGAAAGCTGACGGTTTTGTGCATTATGTACAATGCATAAACTCAAACAGACTGCTGTCTGGGTTTTGAAAACAAAAGACAACTGGCTTGAACAAAAGTAATGCAACCCATTAGCTCAATCCATGGGTTTAGAAGAGTATTGTGATTGTATATTTTAACTATTTTCAAACACAACTAGAACACACACACACACACTCAGAAGAGTGAGAGGCAGCAGCTCTACCAGTTGCACCACCATGCTGCCCTGGGATTTATCCATCCATCCATCCATCCATTTTCTTTACCCGCTTATTCCACTTTGGGTCACGGGGGTCGCTGGTGCCCATGTCCAGCAATCACTGTGCGAGGGGCGGGGTACACCCTGGACGGGTCTCCAGTCCATCACAGGGCCACACAGAGACAAACGAGACAAACAACCATTCACTCTCTCACTCACACCTAGGGACAATTTAGAGTTACCAATCAGCCTAACATGCATGTTTTTGGACTGTGGGAGGAAACCGGAGTACCCAGAGAAAACCCACGCATGCACGGAGAGAACATGCAAACTCCACCCAGAAAGGACCCTGGACCGGGGTTTGAACCGGGGACCTGCTCGCTGAGAGGCAGCAGCTCTACCAGTTGCGCCACCGTGCTGCCGGAATTTATACATATTCAATATAATTAAATCAAAATATTTCTAATATTTTACGTGTTTTTCTATAATGCGAGGCATGTTTTGGAATGTGGGGGGAAACTGAAGTGCTGCTGGAAATCCCACTCATGCATGAAGGGAAAAATACAATCTCCACATAGAAAACCCACAGCTCAGTTCTATTTCGTATAGGCTTCGCCCTTTAAGGCTATCGCTAGTGGGTTTATCCCTTTGCGCGCAGCGCAGCACTGAAAACTTTAGTCCACGCCCAACAGCTGTGTGGGCCTCACCCCCGGTCCATATAAATTACAGTGAAAAAAGCAATTTGGGAGCCAATTACCCGGTCTCACCGTAATTTATACGGACCGGGGGTGAAGCCAACACAGCAGGTGGGCGTGGACTAAAGTTTTCTGTGCTACGCTGCACGCGAAGGGATAAACTCACTAGCAATAGCCTTAATGGGCTGTGCCTATACTCA